AAAATCGGCATTGGTGTACAAAATTTTGGGTTGTGAATTCCCCCCCAACTAATCATAAACTTCGTAATCTTCCTTCGAAAGTTTTTAATTTGATATCAGATATGGAACAAATAAAAAAATGAAAAATGATATTGATCGCTGCTGATAAAGAAATATTTGCTTCACTATTTTCTAATTCTTTTTTTGAAAAACTGATAATATAAATTAAACACGTCTAAATATGTCATTATATTGAAACCTATGCGGAGTATGTATTATTACAAAGGATATAAATGTTTTTATTACGAAAAGTATGAATAATACACACAGAGTGCAAGGATAAAAACGCTAGAACCATTACACTTATGCCGCGCATCAGTCTCGCACTGTTATAACAAGACAACGAAAGAAGAGTTTCTTATTGTGGCAAGGCGACAAAAAATGGGTTTACTACGAAACACAAGTTTATATCGTGATGTGCAACACATTATGTAACATGTTCAGTTGCCTGTTTCCTACATGTGTACGAAAGTGAAAATCTGCAGCATACCTCTGTGCGTACCCGTAAAAATAAAGTCTGTATATAGCGGTCCCAATCGTTTTCCAGCGGTAGCGAACGTGTTAAATTTGAGACTTACAATAACTTCGCTCCAAAATCAAGGTCTTGGTTCTTTTTCTTTTCAAGCACGAGCTATTCCTTCATGATTTTTGTCAAAAACTTTTCTTTTTGTTGTGGGAACTAACTTCGCTTGCAAATTTGTGCAATTCTTTGGTTTGGCGCCGATCTATTAATAAGCATAAAGCGTATACCTGTGTCAGAGAAAGCTCGTTTGAGAATGTTTGTTGAAGAGCACTTGAATACTCCCGGCGCGTACCAAAATCGCACTGTAGCGTTATCAGCGGCGAATGCGGTATATGTGAACTATACGCTGGTCTACTACACTATCCTATATATCAGTTTCTGCCCGATTCAAGGCGTGATACGGGTTCGCGTGGATGGGAGACTGTATTGGCAAATAAACGAACAGATTGCTCGGAGTCGCTACGATATCGCTGATCCGGAAACGGACACACACACACAATCGAAAAAGGATTAAGATAACTATATTACTTCGATCTTCTCTTTAGGTCTTTCAACCAAAAATCAGAGAAATAATGCTTATACAGGATATGATACACAAGGTTACTGCCAAACCTAAGAAGCGTATAAAGGGGTGAAAATAGATCAACTTTTGAGGAACCTATGTTCTTCGGTGTCAATCCAGAGTACTTACAGGCCTTTGAATGTATGAAACTCGAATAATATACCAATGAAATAATCGCAACTTGCTACACATTTATTAGCTTTATTTTGTTTTTATTAATAAGGTTCGTTTTTGTTAAGGATTACATTAGCACAAACTAAAATTACAAAAGGTGTTCGAATTGGCGATCTCCACATTCAATGCAAGCATTGTATGGTCGTACAAACTCTGGCGCACTCTCTCAAATATCCCAGATAGGTATCTCACGTAATTCTTAACAAAACTTTAATAAAACCAAAATAAAGCTAGTAAAAGAGTAGCAAATTACGATTATTTCACTAGTATATTATTCGATTTCCATACATTCAAAGGTCTATACCGAGGTCTATACTGACTCAGGATTACTTCGGAGAACATATTGTAGGTTCCTAATCAAAAGTTCTATTTTGATCCCTCTATACGCTCCTTAAATTTGGCAGTAACCTTTTGAATCACCCTGTATATATTTAGATATACGCATGTATTTACAAATTTAAATACGGCCGTTTTCTCTTCCTGCATTATAATTGACATATTTTCTATGTCGAAGAGAAAAAACGGAAAAGAAATTTTGTGAGATGTTTAAAGAATGTTGCTTAAAAGGCAATGTAACATCGATTACCGAAAAGTTAAATAATTTCTATTCGAATCGCAACTTTGTCTAAACGTTAGAGTGTTAGACAATCGAACTTTTTTTAACTTAATCGGTGATCGATTCAATGGATAGAACCCAGTAAGCAAAAAATCATTATTACAATGTTATTGCAACAATATTCTAGAACTTGTAATGTTGTTAAATATGTAGTTCTTAATGTTGTATAGAACATCATTACGAATATACTTTGACCACGATTCCGAAATTTCAGTAATGTTGAAATGGGAGTGCCATAACGTTGCAAATAACATTTTGCTAAGGTTTTTCTATCATTCCTGTAATGTTTTTGAGATAAAAATTTAAACAAACTATCAATTTTATTACAATATTATATTAAAATTACCGTAATATTAATTCTAACATTTATTTAAAGTTATTATTAATATTTTATTTTCATTTCAGGGAGTATGTATTTATTTTCAATAAAATGCACTACACTAATTACCATAAAAAAGTTTTATTTATATGAACAAATATATACATATACATATACATATATAGGTTTTATTATGAGATTTATTTCGTGTGCCAATTATTTCTGCAAATTATTTCTGCCAATTACCTCAGAAAGTATTGATTAGGAAGGAATCCTAGGAAGGGATTTTTGAAGTCAGCCTTCGGATAAGGGAAATTAAGGTGCCTTCTAACTCTTCTTTAGGCAATGCGATACAGATGCTTTAGTTTAATATAACTCTTTTACTATTTTTTTCCAAACTCTTATTCTTTCCTTTTAAACAGATTATTAATCTTTCCGGATCTTTACCAAACAGTTGCTGAAAAATAAGAATTTCTCATTCAACTTCAGAAATATTAGTAACATCTTCAGTGAATTAGTCTGTGTATCAAAATATATTATGTCTGTTAAGTTAGCACCCCTCCCCCTCCGCAAAAAGCAGAATAACACATATGTAGAAATTAAATGCTCTTTATGTGCTAATTATTCTATTCATGATTTTTGTGCTTGAACGGTTTCGTGGGAAATTGCAATTGAAAGTGGAGATGCTGGCTTAACGTAAGCTAGCACCCCTACTCATTAAAATTATATTATAAAATAAAATACTCAATATAGTAGAATTATGTGCTTTTTATGTGCTTTCAAATGCCTCAAACAAAATTAGTTTATCTGTAATAGTTTAAAAGATATACGTAAAAAAAAGATCTATGTACTATTGATATAAGAGTAAAGTATCAGTTAAAATACAGAAAGCAATATAATTCTTGTCTTAAAATGTTTCTTGATTAATGTGTTCTCGAAATATGCACAATGAAATTTTCGTGCTTATCCCCTTTGACCGACTTGAACGTGAACACCCCATACGTACAAGAGTAAAGTACCACTTAAAATACAGATAACGAATTGGTTTTAGTCTTAAAATATTCCTCAATTTATGTGCTTTCAAAATATGTACAATGAGATTTCTGTGCTCATCCTTTTCGACCGACCCAAACGTGAACACCCCATACGTTCAAGAGTAAAGTACCAGTTAAAATACAGATAGTGAATTGGTTTTAGTCTTAAAATATTTCTCAATTTATGTGCTTTCAAAATATGCACAATGAGATTTCTGTGCTCTATATTAATATTTATAAAATTAAATATATGTATTTGTATACATTTTTAAAGTTATTTAATATGAGTTATGAGTAAGTATTGCAAAGTTGCTAAATATTATGGAGAATTTTTCACTGAGATTCTGAACAATATATAAATACATATAAATAAACATATGTTTAACTAATTTTTAACATTCCCTTTCTAATAACAGAAACAAAATATAATTTTCAAAATTAGTTACTCTTTAGTAAACTTTAATTTGTATTTATATAGAATCTCTTGTGTATTGTTTTTTATGATAATGTTACATGAATGATAGTGCAGTTCACGCTACAATTGTGCGACTAATACTTGAAAGATATATTTGTTTTATGATGTACATACAAAAGAATATGGTAATAGAATATTTAGATATTACATATATAATTATGTTTATTAAAAAAATTTGTATCAAAAAATTACATTGACAAAAAAAATTAATGTGATTTTTATGCTTTTAAAATCATTGTGCATATTTCGGGAGCACATAAATTGAGGAATATTTTAAGACCAAAACCAATTTGCTACCTGTATTTTAACTGGTACTTTCAAAAACACATTAATCAAGAAACATTTTAAGACAAGAATTATTACGCTTTCTGTATTTTAACTGATACTTTACTCTTATATCAGTATAGTATATAGATCTTTTTTTGCGTATATTTTTTAAACTATTACAGATAGACTAATTTTGTTTGAGGTATTTGAAAGCACATAAAAAGCACATAATTCTAGCATAATGAGTTTTTTATTTTATATGTAATTTTAATGAGTGGGGGTGCTAGCTTACGTTAAGCCAGCACCCCCAGTTTCAATTGCAATTTCCCACAAAACCGCTCGAGCACAAAAATCGTGAATAGAGCACATATAATTAACGCATGAAGAGCACTTAATTTCTGCATATGTGTTATTCCGGTTTTTTATGGGGGGTGCTAACTTAACAGACATAAATACATTATGTTACTTTTTTACCTTTTAAGATTTTTTTCTTTGTTTACGGATGTTTGCAAATCTAAGCCATTCCATTATAGAGTGTTCCAAGTCTTTCTCTATATTACAAGGAATTGTTGTCTAATAGCCTCTAAAACAAGAAGAATTCAATATAGTTTAGATAAGAAAAAGGTTGTAATTTAATATATATATAATTTAATTATAATAAGCAGCTTTACTTACGACTTGTGTAAAAGCTTCTTGATCATCTTTTAGCATTTCTAGTATCTTGTACAGAGTTTTCCTTATAATATATTGTTCACTGATGTGTATCTTAGCCAGGGTCAAATTTTTCAAATGGTGGTTTTTTTGAATTTGATACAACAATTGATCCCATATGTTAAGACATATTCATTGCCCTGTACATATAAAATACGCTTACAATAATATATTTATATACTTTAGAGTATGATAGCACATATATGTGAAAAAATATAGAAATAAATAAAAAGTCAGTTTTGGTCTTGTTTGTACTGATCGTTTGTTACATCTATCAACTTTATACTAATTTTATACTAAATTACTCTTACAGTGGTACATGCAAACAATGATGTATTAAAGCCGTACAATACTTTAACAAATCGTCTTCATGCATAGTGTACCAGCTTTATACGTTATCATTTACATATTTCGTCAAATTTTGAGGTTATTTTATAGAAAGTTATACTGTTTGCTACCATTGAAATAATAGCATTGACGAACCTTGATGATATTTTTAATGTCCAAGGACAAATCTATTATAAAACGTAAAAAAATTAATTGATATTTCCTCTCTTTTGTAAATCTCTCTTGTAAATTGGAAAATGAATCCTACATCACCAGCTACTATTCATAGCACAATAAATAATTATAGCACGTATGGTTAATTGAATTCTTATCATTAATATACAACTTTTAGAATATAAATTATTATTACTTATATATAAATATGCTGTAAATAAAGAGCACTCTGTACTCCTCGATTGACACACGTGTATACGTACTCACGCATCGTATGTAAGATAATCATGTACATCATGGCTGTCGCGATGAGCGTTGCGCACAATATAAAACGATACAATTGTATAATACTTTCCTTAGAATATTGCTCAGCCTCGCGGCCCGAGTACATACATCAAGAATATGTTTGATCCTTAATACTTTGGTATATTTCTTTTCTTCTGCAAATCTCTCTCTTATATAGGTCAAAAAATAGATCTTGAATCACCAGCTACCTATTTACAGCACATATAGATAATTAAGTTCTTATCATTAATATGCAAGTTTTAGAATATAATAATTACTTACTCATATAAAAATGTTGTATACAATTAAAAGCGCTCGACAGCACAAGCACAAACGTACGTGTATATGACACACTCACGCATCATACGTATATGTAAGATAATGCGACTACAGTCTCCAGAACTATTACTGCTTCCGATAAGCTGTCGCGACAAGCGTGCGTCTGCTCATGATCTCGACGCGTTCAAACAGCTAAAAATAATCGGCAGTAAATTGCAAGAAAATAGCAAATAATTCCACTATATAGCTTCTACCGATACCCAAAGAACGTTATTTGTAGTTAACCTAAATTATAGGTTATAAATAATCATATCAACTTATTCATAGCACGTATGGTTAATTGAGTTCTTATTATTAATATACAACTTTTAGAATATAATAGTTACTTACTTATATATAAATATACTCTAAATAAAGAGCACTCCGCACTGCTCGATCCACACGCGTATATACGCACTCACGCATTGTACATACGTAAATGTACGCATCATGGCTGTCGCGATGAGCGTTGCGTACAATATAAAACAATAACATTCTAACAACAGAAAATTAATATACTACCAACGTTATTTCCAAGTCCAAATTACAAGGAACTTTGAACTGTTGCATTGATCTCAAATAAATGTCAGAGTAACATTTGAAAAATATTTTCTGTAACGTTTTTAAAATATTTTAACAACATTCAGAAAAATCATATTACGAAATAATATTTTTCAAATATGTGTATAATATTATTAAAAAACGTTTAAAAAATACACATAAAGTCAATATTTCTAAACGTTAATTTAATGTTCCTTGCTTACTGGGAACTATCTACAAGATTTCTAACTCTGTATATGATTTGTCGGTGCTAATCTAATTTTTTATCCATGTGTCAAACAATAAATTAATATCTACAGTCTCTATAAATACAAATATGCAATTATAATTATATTCTGATTTAAAAACCGAAAATTATTTACGGCTATAAATATCTGCCGAAGTTACAATTTTCTGAATTAAGAGTAATTTGTTCTTATTAGTAATATCATGCATCATTGCTATCTGTCATGTATTATCTAACTTTATTTTATTAAAAAACGAAGATATCTTATCACAAACACCTACTGCCGCAATTGCGTCTTGCTGGAAATGCAAAGCTTATAGGCAAATAAATGCTCATCGCTAAGTTTGTATGTATATAACACTATGATATAATATATTTTTATAATCCTCAAAATCCACGAATTGCAATTAACACTTTGATCAAATTACGATTAATTTAATCGACGATTAACTTATTAAATAACACATTTACAATTTTGTTAAAATAGAATTAACATACATGCAGTGTCGGCAAAATTATCAGGCACTCATTATGCTGTAATGAATCTAATACCAGAAAAGACTCTATTGTTTAAAAGGTATTTACTAAAGTGTTCATTATTATAAACGCGTTAATGTTTACTTTTTTTTCAAAAATAAATGTTATTTTAGAAAAACTTTTAATAGGGTCTTACCTTTTATAATTTTGCATTTCCAGGTAGACGCAATTATAACAGCAGATATTTGTGATAAGATATTTTCCCGTTTTTTAACAAAAACGAAGTAATTTTCATTATCATTTTAAATTGGAAGCTGATAAAGTTAGATAGTAAATGATAGCAATAATCTATACTATTATTATAAAGCAACAGGGTTTGCATTTTTTTTTGTTCGCTATGATCTCGGAAAACAATGGACCGAATTTTTACCAAACGTATATGAAATAGGGGTAGAATTTTCTGGGGAGTGCTATAGGGTGTATAGTTTTTCGTTACCGATTTTCTGGAAACCGGGTTTTTTAATTTCTTCAATTTTTCGGCAAATAATTGACGGAATTTCAAAGAATTGTATATAAAACAGGGGTTGAATTTTCCGGTGAGTGCCATAAAATGTATAATTTTTTGTTACCGATCTCTTTGGAAGCTGGTACTGAAATTTTTGAAATTAAAAATTATTTGACCGAATTTTTATTAAATTTTATATACTTTTAATATCGATTTTTTTGGAAACCGGTATCAGAAGTTTTTCGAATTAAAAACCATTTGACCGAATTTTTATTAAATGTATATGAAATAGGGGTAGAATTTCCCGGGGAGTGTAGAGGTAGAGTGTATAGTTTTTTTTACCGATTTTCTGGAAAGCGATTTTTTTAATTTTTCTAATTTTTCGAGAAATAATTGACCAAATTTTTACTAAAAGTATATGAAATAGGAATAGAATTTCCCAGGGAGAACTATAAAGTGTATAATTTTTTGTTACCAAGATCATAGAAAATAAAAAAAGGCTACAAACTGTTTTTTTATTATAATAGTAAAGAATTTTACATAAAACAGGAGTAGAAGTTTCGAAACTAAATAAGTTGTTAAATTCACATGTTAAATATTAATCAATTAATCAATATCGAAAGTCGCTTTCGGAAAATAATTGATCGAATTTTCTGTGGTGTTATTTTTTGACCCGGTATTTATTCTTTTTTAATAGAGAATAAATAAGTTGTTAAATTCACATATTAAATAAAACAAGGGTAGAATTTTCGAGACTAAATAAGTTGTTAAATTCACATGTTAAATGTTAATCAATTAATCAATATCGAAAGTCGCTTTCGGAAAATAATTGATCAAATCTTTCTGTGGTGTTATTTTTTGACCCGGTATTTATTCTTTTTGAGTAGAGAATAAATATGTTGTTAAATTCACATATTAAATATCACTTAAAAAACCAAGGAATAAAATCGGTAATCGGTAAGTGAAATATCGAGGTTCTGTGTGCATCGCGAGCAATCTTAAAATTCCCGAAAAAACTGCCTTTATTAAGAAATTCTACCCCTGTTTTATATACAATTCCTTAAGATTCGGTCAACAGTATTTTTTTCTCAATGTACGGGAGTTTCCGTATGAGAGCGTATGAGAACAATGCATATGGAGAGAGGGAGAGAGAGAAAGAGAGAGATTGATTGATTGATTGATACGTTTAATTATGCCCGAGCAATGGCTAAGGGGCAAAAAA